CTCTTAATTTCGTTTTGTGGTAATTTTGTCAATTTTTGTTTCAATTTGTCTAAGATTTTTTAGAAACATAAAAAACTCAAAAAAAATGTATTGCTTTGTTCTTTAAAATTGAATGCACATTATTTAATTTTTTTCTCCGTTGTTTTGATACAAATTTGCTCCAGCTTATAATAATCTTATTTCTATTTTATTTTCTTAAGTACCAATTTCTAAAGTTCTAATTTTTAGACTTTTTCCGTGGGAAAGATAATCTAATACACTAATATTTCCTTATTACTTGAGGCATACACTTGCGCCTTTAAACTTAGTAGTTGCTCCATAATTTTCTCCCTTGGCAATTGTTAAATTTTCTCCATCAATGACTTCCATAAAAAAGCTTATTTTGTCCTAAAACATTACCAAATAACTTGATGATGCATTTGTGCCTCTTAAGCCAAATAACTTAAAATACTAAAATTATCTTAATTCAATGCATAAATGATAATTCATAGAAAATATCACTAAATCGTGACTTTTCTCTATAATTTGGGAGTTTTAAAACTCCTTTTTACATTCAAAACATGGTTAAACAAAGATTATCAATTAACTAGTACATGAAAGATATTAGTTACACAAAAGTGTGTGTAAATAGCATTACTCTTAAACTTTTTGTCCATATATTTCAAATCCTGAAGTCCAGAAGATATTGAGAAGGAAGACAACCCACAATAGATCTTATGCATCCATTGATATAATTCAAGAAATTTCATTAATTGTATAGGTCATGTGGAGGCTACTCACTATTGGGCCAAGATGAGCTCAGGAAATATGGAAGCAAAAATGCGAGGAGCAATTATATATTGAGGAGCAAGTAATCAATTAAAGAGAAAATCTACCCAAGTTGTGCAAGCGTACACATCAAGTAATATTGGGTTGTTATGAGCCCAAGATTATCGTTCTCAGGGAACAAGTGTAAAAGTGACATCTAAAAGAAATGTAAATAAGAAAAAGAAAACAAAGAGCAAACGGTAAGTAAAGAGCAATCTCATTCAAGGAACCAACTTGTTCTAAACTAAGGTTAACCAAAAAGTGCATGTCACCAGTTGATTGAATAGAGTCAAAGAAGCTGTAGTGACTAAGGACTGGGTTTATCCCTTAAGTTTACTTGAACTTTGCCTTGAAGAAAATCGGAGGACTTGGGAATTTAGAGCAATAAACAGAAAGTAGAGAGATCAAAAACAACAGTTGGAATCCAGTAATAGTAAAAGAGCAAAAGAGAAATCTCGATTAAAAAATCTTAACTTCGTCAAACAAGTAACAAAAGAGAAACAAGAATAACGTTGAACTCAAGATTAAAAAAAGACATAGGCTCAGGTTGGTATTTTCGCCCTCTTAGTCGTTCCCAAAACTCCATCTGTTCCCAGAAATGGGATAAGCTCCCAACACCCTTTTTGGCTATAGAGACAGACTCCTTTATCACCAAGTTTTACTTCCCAAGGTAGTCTAATGCAACTCGCCAGATTACACCGAGGGTGTGCATGACAACCTTCTCATGATCATTTTTTTTTTCTTTCAATTTTTGTTCCCGGGAATAGAAATAGATAGAAATAGTGTTTGACAAAACTGGTTTATTTTTTTGTTCCTGAGAATGAACCGGTTCAATTTATGTGCTAGGGAACAGAAAAAAGAATCAAGAAAGTTTATGCTTTTTTGTTCACGGGAACAAATGAAAAACACTTATCTCTCTCAATCACTCTCCACCACTACCACCACCACCAACCCGACATAACCATCGTCGCTGCCGTCATTGTACCACCACTGTCATCGTCACCACCACCATTATGCCACCGCCACCGTCTCCATTCCACCGCCACCATCACTACCACCATCACCACCACCGTCACCACCACTACCATCACCACCACTATCACCAACCACCACCACCATCGCCGCAGCCAATGTCGTCATTACTACCATCACCACGCCACCACCACTGCCACTGCCACCATCACTACCATCATGTCACCACCACCACCACTACCATCACTGTCACCACCATTATCACTATCACCTCCGCCACCATTCCACCACCATTGTCGTAGTCAATGTCGTCGCCACCGCCACCGCCACCATTACTACCAATATTGCTGTCGCCACCACCACACCATATGAAAAGGAAAGTGATGATCTAAAATTTTTTATGCTTAATAGGAATAATTTTTATTCTATAATTTGTTGTGTTATCAAACGCAATTCTTATTCTCGGAATAAATCTAGTAATGCCCGGCCACTTGCAAGAATCAACGACTGTCCCCACACACTAACACGAGGCTTTTCAGTGTGCTTTGTCCTCACTCGCACACTTCCCGGGAAAACTTCCCAGGAGGTCACCCATCCCAGAATTGCTCCAAGTTAAGCACGCTTAACTGTGGAGTTCTTCCGATCCGGGCTACCGAAAAGTATATGCATCTTGTTAGTATAGGTAGTACCAATTAATTCTTATAAGTCATTCCTAACTGTATCTTCCCATACCAACACAGTCTCTGGAATCCCTCTCTTTCGGGTGTTGATTCGATTCATTCATGAACCCCCAAGCTGTAAGATTTGGCATGAGCCGCTCATTGTTCGTGCCCTTTCGCACCGGAGATCACTCCCTGCCCTTGCCAGCACTTGGGATGTTACATGCCCACCAGCTTCCGCCTGGTTCGTCCTCGAACCACACCGTACTGGAAGAGAGGCCCTGCTTTGTTACCACTAGTAACGCCCGGCCACTTGCAAGAATCAACGACTGTCCCCACACACTAACACGAGACTTTTCAGTGTGCTTTGTCCTCACTCGCACACTTCCCGGGAAAACTTCCCAGGAGGTCACCCATCTCAGAATTGCTCCAAGTAGAACATGTTATTAAGCATATTTTTCTTAGAAATTGTTCCAAGGCACAGAAATAAAAAAGAGTTGTTTCTGTTCAGAAACAGTGCTAGATAACATAATGGTTGTCATGCACACCCCAAGCTTCCTTAGAAGTCAGATTAATTAAGACTCAAGGGAGATTGTGTTGCCCCTTATTTCTAAGGTAGCTGAAGAGGTTGCTAAAGAGCAACTCTACACATGACAGTTGCTCCTTACGTCTGGGTTTTCCTTTCTTTGAAAACAAAGACCCTAAGATTTATCCTTCGATGTTATACTTACCAAGAATGTTCATATTACCAGGAATGTCTTATACTACCAAGATTCCTTTTGTTGTTATACTCACCAAGAATGTTTTACACTGCTACGAATGTTAAATTAAACCAAGGAACAATCCAAATCCATAAATGAAAAAAAAATTCATAATAAGTTCAACCTAAGACAAAGAGGGAGATTTCTACTTCATCTTTCCTACTAAAAAGACTTAGCACATACTAAGGAGCATAATGAAAACCTAGTTACAAAAGAGAAATGAACATAGAAAAACAGAGGAAAATCCTAAGGACGACATTGAGTCCTCTCTAAGAGTGCCAAAAAGCTCCTTTAGGTAATGATTTCTTTAGTATTTATAGGTGACAGGTCCTCCTTAAGCTGATCACATCCCTTGATTGATCAATGGTTCAGATTTCATCAGTTGCTTTCCAATCAGTGACGTGCTCCCTGCCAGCTCAGCCCTAAATATTCCTCTAAGCTTCTTTTTTTCCTTCTTTTTCTGAATTTTTGGTGTTGTAATGCTACAAAAATGTTGTGCCATTCTCCTCTCTACTCTCCCGACGTGTCTCTAGTTGGATAGATGCTTTTCAGGCAAAGGACGCTGGTACAGTTGCTTTTTGCTTGCTTTTTCTGCTTTTTGTCTTTCTTGTCTCCTTTGTCTCTCTCTTCTTTCCTTCTTCCCAAGTTTGTTTCATTTCTGAGATGGGCCTCCTTTAAATGGTTATTGGGCCTCCTGAAAATACAAAACAACACATTAAGCCCAAAAATGAGTAGATTAAATTGTTTTATATGCAGTTACTCCCTATTTTCCAAAATTGCAAGTTGCTCCGGCTTAGATTACAATGAATTGTTCCTGAACGCAAACTTAGTTATAAATGATAAAATTAACAGCTAAAAAAGAGAGATTTAATAATAAAATATACAAGATAGCTCTCCACTTTTGGGAGTTATCACTCACCACTAGGGGTGAAACTGGGCCGGGTTGGCCCACAGGGGCCTACAGCCCGGCCCATTAGTGGCCTGGCCTGGCTCAGCCTTTTTACTTGGCAGGTTGGGCTTGGGCTGCTGTAAAAGTTTGATTACATAATTGGGTCGGAATGTTAATTATTAAGCCTGGCCCATGTGCCTCCAAGGCTGGCCCAATTATTCACTTCATAATATTTTAGCACAGCCTACGCTCTACGAAAGTCCCATTATACTTTCGTCAGTTCCTTGAGTGAAGAGTGAAGACTTAAAAAGAACTGAAGAGGGACTCTTCTCCAATTGTTAGTGCAGCTCTCTCCCTCGCCTTGAATTTTCCTATCTTCGAAGGTCCTTCTCTTTCTTATACTCCATTTTCTTTTTCTTTTTCCCTACTTTCTCCAATTTCTTATCTTCGTAGCAGCAACACTAACTAGACTCTAGGGTTTAGGGTTTTGGTTTGCTCTTCTTATAATTGCAAGTGATTTGAGAAATTAAGATGAAATTGATGATTTTATGGTCTATTTATTTGTTTCTTTGTTTTCCTTCTTTTGCAGAATCGTGATGCCCAGTCCTTGCTTCCTCTGACATTAGCAATATTGTATATATTTTAAGAGGGAAAGGGGTTTGGGTTGGGGGACTTGAACTGGGTTAAAACTAGAAGGATGTTTTTGTAGCTTTTCTGTGTATTTTAGGAGGGAAAGGGGTTTGGGTAGGTGATTCCAAAAATTGTAAATTGATTATTTTCATAGCCTTGTCTAATAAATATATAAAAATAAGCAAGAATAAATTTTTTTAGGATTTAACGGGAAACAGTTTATATATCAAATTGCTTAATTGCATTTACATATTTACTTTTTATAAGTTGCATCTTTCACTAATGGCTTTCGTATGTGGAAAAAAACACTGCAGCTTGTCCGCCCTAATTGAAAACAGGATTTTCAGTGTTCATGGTGGTCTTTCTCCTGCCATTTCAACATTGGATCAGGTTAGAAATTCTACCCCAATTTATTTGTCTTAAAGTCTTAGATTGTACATTAGCAATACTGTATATATTATTCTTTTTTCATATCCAGATACGAACTATTGATCGGAAGCAAGAAGTACCTCATGATGGTGCTATGTGTAACCTCCTATGGTCAGATCCTGAAGATATTGTGGATGGATGGGGGCTGAATCCCCGTGGTGCTGGTTTCTTATTTGGTGGCAGTGTTGTTACTTCTTTTAACCACTCCAATAACATTGACTATATTTTTCGTGCTCATCAGTTGGTAATGGAAGGATATAAATGGATGTTCAATAACCAGATAGTTACTGTCTGGTCAGCTCCATATTATTGCTACAGGTGCATAATCGATTAAAATGAATGTTCTTATTTGTGTTCTGATGCTTTTAGTAAGACATTTTCGTCTTTGTTACAGATGTGGTAATGTAGCTGCAATTCTGGAGTTGGATGGGAATCTTAATAAGCAGTTCCGTGTGTTTGATGCTGCTCCACAGGTTGGTAGGCAAAATCACTTCATATTGATTATCATTTTATCAACAGGGGTACTTGCTAACATTGACTACTACTTTTAAAGAACTTTTCTTTAAATTATTTTTTTATATATTGCAGTTTAAAGTTTCTTTACAACCTTCTTTTAAATCCAATAAAAGCAAAAATTCTCATGCCTTAAACGAGATTTTCTCTTCACTAGAATTTGAGTATTTTGTGGAGTTGATTTATGATCTGCTTGGAAGTTAAAAATTAACAGGTCAACGGGCCGGGCCAGGCTATTTGTTTTTTTATAATAAGCCAAGACAGGCTAACAGTTAGACTCATACTACGTTATCGGGCCGGGCCAAATTGAAATTTTTTGACATAGGGTTGGGCTTTGCGCGGCAAAGCTCAGCCCAGCCCAGCCTACTTTCACCCCTACTCACCACCACATATAGCTCCATTTCTTCAGTGTTCCATGCTAAAGAACAAAGATTTACTACGAGAATTTGGCACCCATATACATTAATTGCAGCCTGCAATATGCACCGCACAAGTATATATTTTGTCGACTCAGACTAGAACTTCCAAGGTTATCATAAAAGCTTTGCAGCCATCTACTTAGACATCACGTATACCAAGAGAGGAAAACACATGGGTAGCACCAATCATACCCCCTTCATAGTTTATCACCATCAAAAGCCCACTCCTCCATGTTGTGTCCAGAATTTATTTTACCAATGAGTAATACTACTTACATAATATTTATGAGCTACTACCGACAATAATTGTACGAGTTCCTCAATGAATTTCATAAATAAATAAATAAATAAAAGCGATTTTGTTTGATGTACTTAGACCTCTGCCACAAGATACAAATCATTTGACGATAAATACTAATTTCAATCTAATTATAAAATTTTATTAATAAGGATGAGCTTCGAAGCAATGATAAGATTACTCATTTGTAATCAGAAAGTCACAAGTTTGAATCTTTTGAACAAATATACAAGAGTGAGACTTAACATTGACCCTCAGTCAGTCAGTCTTTCCCCTCACCAAGAAAACTGTCTTCCCGAATTTTTCTTACTCCATCATATAACAATGTATTGCCACATTATATAAAGAGATTGACAATAACAAGCTTAACCTTTTTTTTTTTTTGGTAATCAACAAGCTTAAACTTAATATAAACATAGCAGTACAAAATTTGAATATAGTGTTTTTTTTGCATCAAAATTAAGGGTTTAATATCTCTAATAGTATAGGAGATAAATTTTATCTTATACACACACATAAAAATATATGAAATCTATTTTTTTTTCCTCTCTTCTCTTCACATGGCCCAATATAGGCCCTACACACTTTAATGTTTATATAGAAAATAATTTTATCTTCTACAACATGATAAACATCAAATCCCAAAATTAAACTATAGTGTAATCAGAAGTGAACATAATCATTTCTAACTAAATTTACTCAATTCAAAAGTAACATTTCTTTTTGGGTAGTGTATATACATTCTTACCCTTATGGCATTCCATCATTTAAGCAGAATTATCGACTTGCACATAAAAGTACATTCCAATCAAGTGAATTTGGAGTTCATTGTTGTAACTGACATGATTGATAGCATATTTTACTAGGAAATAATGTTCAACCATGTGCTTTCATATGATGCCAGAAAATATATATATACATATCAAATTCTTCCTACATTTTACTTGTTACAGCTTGCAAAGTAGTTTTACATGGCTCAAAAATAGAAGACTCATCACCAATTAAGTTCAAATCTGAATCTTCATATTTACTGAATATTCTATGCTAGTCCTGCATAATATTGCCATATGAATCAAGTGCTGTCTAACCTCCTAATCACTTCTCTTTGAATCTGGTATCCATTGGACATCCTTTGTCCAAATAAAGGTAAGGTTATGACTGCATGATCATTCACAATGACTTAAATGCAAAATGAAAATTGAGACACAATGCATACTCTTAAGTCACCTATGCCACTGATTGGAACATAAAATCTGTTAGAATCACTTCTCAGAAAGCATCTCCTCAATTTGACCATTTTGGTTGTAGAGATCCACAATTTTCTTAGCATATGTAGGCATGTGCCTATCAGCCCTGCATGCATTTATATTTCAACAATATAAACAAATTACACTTAAAACAAAGTAAGGATGGCCATAAATTATCATATATACCTTTCCTTTCCCCACAAACGATTTACATACAGATAGTTGCGTATGGTATGGTAATCAAGTGAATAACGTGCAAATTCAAGACCCTTTGGACCAATCTGAACATTAAAGCCAAAGCCAAAAAATATCATTAATGTGTGCATATACATGCTGTATCAATGGATGAATTTTTAACAATCTTTTACCAAGTTTAGTATAAAAGCCAGCAAGTTTCCAACAAATTTTGGGGCAGGCTGAGAAGGACCTCTTCCTGGTCAAATAAGAAATTTCAAAGAAAGAAGTAATCAACTTTTGAAATTTTATTAGCTAATGAAACATATTAAGAAGATATACTAAAAACCACTCCACATGAAACCACGATTTGAGAAGATATGGGTAAGAGAAATCCTTGTACGCAACATGACTCTTGCATAATTGCAAAGAGATTGTTTCCTTGACCTCTCAGTCCCTAAGGAGCAGTGGTAACACTTCTCCAGGGTAAAATCATAAATCCATAAAATATTTCATCACAAAGCAAATCATAACCAGAGCATGAGCCCAGAGTCAAAAAAAGCACTAAACGTGGGACCTATGTCAAGGGTCAAAATGAGTCACGGAACCTTCTATAAAATAAATACATCACATAGTGAATGTTATGCATACCTAACTTAGCATTATCATCAGCCTTAACAGTCTCCATGACAAATGGTCGCCTATTCCCCTGAATCAGACAGAAAATATCATACTGTTCTTTTTCTAAAAATAGATAAATAATATTGAACAGAGATGATAATTTACAGCACTAGTTGTTGGACGAATCTCCAGTAAATTCTCTACCAGACTCAACATCTCTCTTCCGCGTTCATTCCTGTCATTTCAAGAGCAAAATATCCAGGACTCAACCCTTCTTACAAAACAACAATCCTTTAAGAAACAATAATGCATAATTTCTTAGCCCAAATTGCCCAATAAATATTCATAATAACTAAAGGGCATATCTAGACCAAAAGAAAATAGTGCAAAACCAGAAACTTTGGCATCTTAACAGTGGTGTTACCTGACTGTAACGTACTGTGGATGTTGTGTCATACTGATTCCGGAATATTTTGGAACGCCCATATACCCAACCACTAAGTCCTGAAAAATGTTTTTGTACTATCTAATTAAAAAGAGAGTTTCTTACCATGAAAAGATGCCACAACCAATGTAAACACCAAACAAACCAAGTCTATTAAGGATATGGCTATGAACATTGTTTCTTCACATTTTACAAACACATACATGTACACTCACAGAAAATGGGAAGCAAATGGCAGTTGGAAATTCTTACTCTATATTAACAAGATCAAATTGAAGGTGAAACTACTCACAACAGCTTGTTAAACAATGTCAAGCATGAAAATTTAATTCTTACAAGAGGATAAAGAAATGGATATAGGTTTTCAAGCATAGAGCAAACTAATACTACTTCGAGGCATCTGGAAGAAAGGAAACAATCAAATAAGTAAATCAATACAAAAGAACTTTTGCAAATATATCCTACAATATAGTCAAAAACATACATTGATACATGAACTGTTTGGGTGTTGGGTTTAGATCTTTTTCCCTCAAGGTGTAGAGTATGTCAATGTATAGGTGATCTAGAGAGTCAGTGGTATGAACCAAAGTTCTGTAATGGAGTAACGTGAGTAAGGGTCTCAAGCGAAGGTTGAGAATTAAGGGGGAGTATGAAGTCACAATGGCTCCAGGTAATCAGTGTGTAGAAGATGCCACTTCAGTGGGAAAGGGGGGCTATTTATAGGTGGGAGAAGATTCTCCAATAATGACAGAGGGAGCCATAATTGTTTCTGCTCTAGTGGGCTACACTAGGTGTGAGGCAAACATCCTCACCTGAATGCATGAGGTGCGTGTGCATGGGGAGTGAAATCAGGTGTGGTGAAGGAACATTTATCTCACTTTAGGGGTGTAAATGGGCCTTAGTGGCCGGCCCAATGGGTTGAGCCTATGTGGCCAGTCCAGAGTAATACATAATATTATTCTAATCAATAATCTGTCATAAGTCATCTCATAGTCAGGCTATATTGCTATCTCCAAATGCAATTTCAAATCAAATTCGGATGATAAAAGGGGCAAGCAATCATGTGAAAATACAAGAGGAGGTGCATACATCATTCAACAGTACCAAATGAGTTGATAAATTCTCAACCCAAGTCTTAAAATTTATGAAATAATTAACCAAAACCAAGTTTAACATAATATTTGACAATCAAGCCAAAAAATTAAAAGTTGACATATTTACACATCATGAAAAGTGATTAAACTACTGATGATAAAAGAACTTAGCAGGTGAACAATTTGTAGACAACATAACAAGTGAGTAAGTAGAAGCAATTAATACAGTCCTCCTAAATTCGAGTGAAATATTATGCACGTTAAAAAGACTGGACAGTCGAGCAGATAAGGACTTACTGCTAAAGCATTTGTGTAGTCGAAACAGCTGTAGGAAAAAAAGAAAGAGAGAGACTCTGAAAAATTAGTGCAACATAAAATGAAAGAGCAAACAGAAATTGAAGTGAAACCAAACTTAAGATTCTTATACCTAAATTCTGAGTCAACACATTAGACAAAAGTTAAGGACAAATTACCTGTAGCAAGACGGGGCAATAACATCAACCAACTCATTTGCTGGTAGACAGAAATAAGGAACCTGTTTAAGTTAAAATTTGAAACTGAATGAAGCTGCTTGCTTGTGAAACCCATGGACATACTAAAACAAAGGAAGCTCTTTTACCTCCTCAATATGACCATCCAAATGCTTCAAGTGAACCTGCCAGATAGTTTGAAACAGCAACTGAGTAAGACAAAATAACCTTGGCAATACAGCAAGATGCTATGATAAACAACTATTCTAAATAAATCAGTAGGTGGTTCTACTATAATATATTCTCCATTTATATTTCAATGCCCGACCAAGACATTTGGTCATCCATAAATGCTCTAAATCATAAAGGATTTTTCAGAGGAAAACCTTGTAATCTTGCATAAACTCATAATGGAGAACTGTTTCCGGTGAATGAC